ATATCTTGCCAACTTTCGTTATTATGATTTGGAAATTCCACAATATCATCAAATTCAACGGACTCAGCTCTAAAATCACGCAAGTGAAATTTTGGTATAACATCATAAGGTTCTACTAAAAATTTATAATAGATATCACCATCCTGACGCATACAAGGTTTTAAATTATTACGAATTCCAAACAGATTTTCTCTCAATTCCCTTCTGTGGCGTGCATGGCTTATTTTTGTGGAAATAACCAATAATATACTATAATGTCCACTTGTATTTACTGTTTCATTATTATTAATAGTTTTATCTTTAATTGTTGACTTTGAAGGAATTATTGTAATGTCGTCGTCATCAAAAGTTGCATCAGCATTAAAGTATGGAATTTGATTGAAATAGGGCGATGAAAAAATAAATATCATAAGAGCTAAAGAAACAGCCACTATATAGATATAAATTTTATGAAGTCCATATCTTCCATGAGATGAAGGACTTTGTTTATCTTTATATATCATTTTATTAATTATTTATATTATCAACGTAAAAAAAAAAGATTTTTTTTTTTTCTAATTTTTTTCTTGGTCCCCTCACTATATAAATAGACAAATTTTAAATTGGTACAACACTGCCAATAACAATTAACATAATAATATTCTTGATATGGTTTTCTAGGAGTATAAAATTATTTTTAGAAAAAGTCCTGAATATTTATGCTTTAAATATTAATATTAACATTAATAAAATATTTAAAGCCTTGTATCTCATTTTTTATCAAGAAAATGGGACTGTCTCTAGAAAAACTACCTTTGAGCTTAATAAAAAAAATAAAAATGGGGGAATCGTGCTTCAGATAAACTCTCTATTGATCTACGTACTCTATTTGTCGTTACACGCAAAACATAAAATTAGTATAATTTTAGAAATATCTGAACACTGCATGTAAATATATTAAACACACTATAGAGTTTCTATTTCGGCAACGTTATATTCGTTATAAGGAATTTGCGGATCGTAGTCATGTGATCAATTATAAGATTTTTTTTATGTATTTAAAAAAAATAAAATGTTAATACGTCATCATTTATTCGATATTAAGAAAGCTATCTAATGTTAATTGTTGATGTTGATTTTTCTTTTAATGATTTAAATTCGTTCCCACTTAAGTTGCAACTTTTCAGATTGTTGCTCAATGTAAACATCTAATTTTTTATTTGTAACATGTGAAAATTCTTCAATTATTTTTTTCTTGATTTTGGTCTTCCTCGGTTGAAATTTATGTATTGTAGATTCATTTTCATTAGTTTTGTCAATTCAATGTATTAAATAATGTTTATGAAGATATGAACTAAAGATAATGAATAATGGAGATGTGTGAAATAATTTTGACAAATGTATTTTCATTAATAAGGGAATATAATATTATTCGTATTACATATCATATTAATATGTAAACTCGATAAGTCGGTTTTGATCTAACTCGGCCAAAAAGTTTCACCCCTTTTTTACTATTTTACTATTACTATTATAATTACTATTATAATTACTATATTAATATAAAAAATACAAAAAAAAAAATTCGATAAGTTGGTCGATCTAAATAAAGTCCCGATAAGCGCAATCACTTAGCTACTATTTTAGTAATGCGTGATTTAATGACATGCATTAAGTGATGGTCCGCGATCAACATTATTTTTTAAAAAAAAAAAAATTCATTTAATATGGAGCTTTGGCTAGTCTTTGACAAATCTCGGACTTACCAACTCCGGCTTTGCCTAATAAAACATAGAACACTTGCAACATTTTCAGATGTTTAGAAATATAGTAATAATGAATTATTTTTTAATAATGACCATTATAGACTTTTGATTTACATTGTTGTTATATTTGCTAATTTGCATTGGAAAACAATTTTTCCTAAATAGCAAAAGTATATATACTTATTGAAAAGTTACATGAATAGAAGTTTGTGGATGGGGTTTAGTTGCTTTTGCTTTTGATAATTTCTTGAATTTGCAATTACTCCACCCCCTTCTTCCAAGTGTTTTCTTAACATAATATGGCAATATTGTTTCTGGTGCACCTGTGTTGATCACACACGAATACACCTCGTTGTTATTTGGGTATCATAAAAATCATACTCAAGCTGAGCAATTAAATTGAAGAAAATATTTTAAGATCCGGCATATTGATCTTTTGTCAGCCATTGGAAATATTTATTTTTCCTTGTTAGCCCAATATAAAAAAACCTATTTCAAAGAAATAATTTTATTAAAAAATAATTTCTATAGACAATTTGAAAAAGGGTGGAGGCAGAACAAAATTTTCTAAAAAATAATTACCATTTTCAAGGATTTTCCATACAGATAATGAATGACATATACACTTTTTATTCTGCAGCAAAACTGAATTAATAAAAATAGTTGAGAATTACCATTAAAACTAGCTACATTTTTTTTTTTTTTGTAATGTTACGATTCTATTAATTTTTTCATAAATTCATACATGTATTTTATGTGGAATCCACAGTTGCCCAAGAGTAAACTATTTATTTTAATATAAGAAAAGACCATGATTTCATATATGCAACTTTTGTTTATATATGTAGATCGCCCGATTTTTATTGGTGAGTTTCTATCATTGATCAGCGGATCACGAATTAATTGGCAGTTGTATCATCATTGTATAGTTCATTTAACATGAATAACGCATTAATATATTATTATCTCATCAGTTATATCATCAAGAATTTATAGAACATTCTTGTTTAAATACGGACAATACATCTGTATTTATTCATCTCATTTATTTGCCTCATTTTTATATCATCACTTATAGCATTGATTATCTAATGTGAAGAAATATATTTGTATTCCTATTAAGTTTTATTATGTTCAGAAAAAGATTGATTTAATGTATGGGATAAAAGATAAATAAATATTTTAAATTAAAAAAATCACGTGAAATTCGATACTTCGGTTCGGTCACAGAGGTCCGCTCCGACATGACCGACTTATAGAGTTTACATAATAATAAATAATTTGTAGAAAATTTCCTAATTTAACAGTTATAATTTCGGATCGTAATCGTCAGCCGTTATAGGCAGTCATATAAAACATTAGTATTAGTGAATTTCAGGGACAGGCCGCTATAGTATAGGAAATTTAATTAAGAAGACCGTTATAGAGTGGGATTTTTATATAGTAAAAAATTGGGACCCAATTCCTAGTTCGTTATAGAAAAGGCCGTTATAGAGAGTGTGTACTGTATACAGTGCAGGACACCTAGTCCCTACAATTTTTATTGGTCTTCCATAACCAAAAAAAAGCAAGGTGTAATTTTGAAATCAAGATCTTTCTCTATAAGATTAACAAATTTACTATGTTAACCCCAAAGTGACGTGTTACACGCAAATTTTTCATATTAAAAATGAACGATTGAAATTTTTGAATTTGTATGGCCAATATTTTATCACGCGATAACGGCAAGAAAAAAAAACCGAGAACCATATTATGAACAAAATTTTCCTTAATTATCTATATGTACATATTATCATAATCTTCACAAACACGTGACAATAAAATTTTTATATTGTAAATTTTTTCTCAAAAACTGTTGCCGAGACGCACTATATAACTGATGCAATAAATAATTATTAATGAAGTTTTGAATTTCGGGGAGTCGATTTCCTTTTTCCCGTGTAACAATCTTGATCTTGAATTATTTATCTCAGAGATGAAGAAAGACAGTCTCAGCAAATTATAATCCTCCTCAAGTTATAGATTAATATCATTTTATGTAAAAACCTCAGTTTCAGCCAAGGAAGTCTTTAATCTGGTTTTTAGAAATCCCCCATATATGTATATATGGGAATTGTATAGCACCATTACGAAAAATTTTCAATAAGTATGATTCAAGTCATCTATAAATCTCTCAGTCCTGAAATTTGAAATTTCAGAAGGTCTTTCTAATTTAAGTAACCAGATTCTTTTATTGAAAATTTTTCTGTATCACTCCCGATCATTGTGAAAGGAATCAAAATTTTGGCAATTGAACAGCCATTATCAGCTGGTTATTCATATTATCCATATATGCACAAAAAATTGTTTTATATCATTTTTTATTTTATTATTGCCATTAAAAATAGAGGTTGGTATCAATCTTTACTTTTTTTTCGGACTTGTGACTAGTTTCTATTCGTAATACAAATTCTTATTCAAATTAATTGTAATTATTCGATTTTATTCATTATTTATTATTCATTTTATTCATTATTCGTTTATTCATTATTTCATTTTACTGTATTTGAATTAATTGTTTTGTTTATTCAACTTATTCATTTTATTCAAATCATTTGATTCAAATAACAAACATTCAATGTAATTTTCGAATGCTCAAATTCATCCTACCATTACTATATGACTATTTGCTAGTAGAAAAAATTTAAAACACTATTATTGTTATCATTACAAGAGAAAAACCACACACCATAACTATTATTATTAATTGACTAAAGAAAAGAAAAGAAAAAATGTCAATTACTTCTGCTACTATTATTACTCTTGTCACTACAAGGACTACAAAGGAAAAATTTTGATAGTTCATATATACCATTACCATTACTATTATATACTATGGTTATATTCGTTTTAAGTTAAAAAGTTTCACGTGTTGAGTTAAAACTAGTTAACCAGTAAAGGGTTAAAGCCTTAATTTGAGTAACAATTGTCTTTGACTAACATAATGACCATATAAATAGTTTAGTCAGTTTAGCTAAATTGCTCATTCAGGTTATGAAGTAGTTAACCCGATTAATAAAGTTGAGAATTTTTACGCAATGTCGATTATCGTTGATCCAATTGTAGAATATTTAATTTTCAAACAATTGATTAAAAAATTTGATTAATAAGCGAATTTTTATTCATTGGTACTACTAAACCTTTTTTTTCATTATTTTTTCATTTTAAATTTATTTTTTCATTTATCATTTTATTTTTCATTTAACATTTAACAATATGATTATTAAGAAAAGGTTATTGGCCATTGCAAATAAAATATATACTGTTATTCCAGAAACAGGCTCTTACAAAGTTTACGATGCAGAAGACTGGTCCACAACAACTGCTGCTGCAATAACTCCCTCAAATAATATTTATTTAACTACAGCGTATGGCAATCTTTGGGAAATCTCATTAAATGATGATGGTGCCAGAAGAAGAGTTGATAAAGGTGGCTGGGATGCATGCAATGTGTTAATTTCAATTAAATCTCCAGGAACTTTAGAAAATAAATTATTTTCATTTTGCGATAAACTTTGGTTGGTTGATCAAAAGGTTGGCAGTTGTATAGATTTTTCTGGTGGATCCAGTGATGATGATTGGTCAGAAGTAGATGTCGCTACCAGTATTAATGATAAAATATATTTTACAACTTCAAATAATTTATGGTGCATTGATACTTCAAAAAATTATAAACCTGAAAAAATAGGCAATGATGACGATTGGTCAAATTGTAAAGCATTGGTTAATGTCAACGGAATGTTGTTAGCGTTTTGTCATTGGTTGTGGGAAGTTGACGTGGAAACTGGAGAATGTAAATTGTTTTTTAATAAAGAAGGGGAAAGTGACAATGATTCTTCTAATGATGATGATTCTAATGACTATGATGATTATTCAACAAGAACCTGGCTCGATGTTAAATGTGCTGCTGTAATTGATACAAAGGTTTATTTGGTTGGAGGTAGTGAATTATTAGAATTAGATACCGTTAAAAGAGCAGTTAGAGTAGTTAGTGACGAGGACTGGAGTGAAACTAAAGCTTTAATTGCTATTAATATTTAAAATATCTTTTTTTGTACCAAAAATTTTTTTTATTCACTGTATTATTTCTCAAAAAATTTTATGTAACTTATTACTTTCTGATTCATTAAATATATATATAATGATCTGTAATTTCTTTGTAAAGTATTCGATGACAAGAGTGTTAAGCAGAAAAGGTGTGTCGTCAGAAGAATACGATATACCAATCAAATTCAAAGTCTACCAAATTTTACTTGCCCATGGTTGTGTAAATATGTTTATCATTAGCAGAAAAATGATCGCGGGAAATATTAAAAATTTACCAAGGGCAGTTTCCCAAAAGTTTATTTTAAAAAATTTCAATTACTTGCCCATCTTACTCGGGCGAGAAAGGTGCAATTTGGTTTGGATCTGACAATAAATACAATGGACATCTATTATTTTATTATATGGGACATACCAACATTATGCCACAAAATAATTTTTGCAGTTCAACGAGATGGATAAAGATAGTATATGGCCATCAAAAATTAAAACAACTGTACACCTTAATGTACTGTTTATACCAGTAGACTTTTGAATTTTATCAATCAGCAATAATAATAATAGATTATTCTTAATATTTAACATTAATAGATTCAAAACAAATTTAAATATTTAGATAAATCCTTATTGCCCAGAAAATGTAACAATTAATTTATTCATATGGTACTAAGTTCTTTTTGGAATCGAAAAACCCCTTTACAATTTCAGGATATTTTGGTTTCTTTTTTCCAGTTTTATCCAAATAATAATCACTTTTAGGTATTGGTCCATATTGAGGCTCATGTGTGTCTATAAATTAAAACATGTAATTATTAAAATAAAAAATAAAAAGTCAAAAAAAAAACTTTGTGGAACAAAACTTACTTAAGATATCTTTGTAAATTCTTGAAACTTCTATATCCCACACCTCTCTAAAGAAAGTTGCGCCACGTAATGTCAATTTATATTTCTCGACAAAACTTCTAACATCCATATTCGGACCTACGTTATTATTATTCACTAGTATCTTTTCATTGTTAAACTGTTCGAATATAGCAAAAGTGTATCTATGATAAAATGTTCCTTTAGGTGGGTGTGGTGGCGTGTAAGGTAAAATTATCTGGCCTCCAAGGATATTAGATTTTGTTGCATTTAAAGGAATATTTCTTCTTTTTTTTTGAGAATGTAATCAAAAATTTTACTTTATCATTTCATCAATAAAGATCAAAAATGTTTTAAATCATCTCAATTACTTACATCAACCAAAGCCACTGTGTTTGATATGATTGGTTTTTCGTATCAGGCATATCTGAAATAAAGATTATCCAAAATGTATTAATAATTATTATTTTTAAAAATGATCAATCCTAAATGAAATAAATTACCAGGATTAACAAAAATCAGTGTGTATAATCGTGTCTCGGTATGAAAATTTGTTGCAATTATCACCGGTTCTTTAATAGTCTTTATAAAAGAAATAAATTTCAGACTTTTTTGATTCTGTTGGTTTATTTATCTAAATGTAAAAAAAAAAAAAGAAAATTTACCATTCCTGGAAATAGGAAAACTCCTGGTTCAATGATTTTTTTGTATTTGAATTGAAGATCAATTTTTGGTTCAAATGTAGGAAATAAATCTGGAACTACATACATTTGTTCTATACGTTGCCTCTAGAAGATAAAATAACGGATAACAATAAATAATAGATATCATAGAATCAATTAATTATAGACAACAATAAATGCTTTTTTCTAATAAGTGTTATTTACCAATATTGGAAGTGACTCAATCCTCCATTCTTTTTCTCTTAAATGACGATAAACAGCATTTGACATATCAATTGAATCTAATCAGAGAGATGTAATTTTATTAGATTATTTGGTTATATAAAAATCTCTAAATAATTTCTTATAGAATATCTTCTATTATTACAATTTACCTTTGTTATTATTATATTTCCATTGAACTTCTGGATCATTTACTTGTGACAGGATCTCTAAGTCAGTTTTTTTATTTTCCAATTGACTTAATTTATCATCTTGTTCTTCACTTTTGTTTTTATCTATTGTAAATATATGAAAAAGCAAATTCAATTATAAAAGTAATAATAATTTATTTTAATTAAATTAAATGTCGCAAATCAAACCTTTCAACAATTCGCTTATTTGAGCCTCGATCACTTTAATCTCTTCTAATTTTCTTTGTTTGTCTTCATTGATGTATTTTAAGGCTTCGTCGTAAGCTGGATTAACACCTAATGCTGGTGGTTTATAAGCTTTAGGCGGTGTTGGAGTTTTTGATAATGGTAATTTAACAGCTAATTGTTTTTTAGAAAGTTGTTCTTTTATTTGACTAACTTTTTGTGTTGTTGTCAATTTTCGTAAACTAAGAAAATGAGGCTTTTTAAAAAGACGCTCGAGTAAAAACCATATATGTATTTTTAATTAAGTTTATTCTTATTCTTTTTTTTTTTTAAAATTGCTTTATTATTACTTACAATGTAATAATTTTCGGCTGTAGTTTGTGGAATGCTTAATAATGAAAAAATTCTTCTTTTAAACATAATTTTTCTTTTTGAGCGTAAAAAAAAATTTTTTTTTTTGCGATCGACGATTTTTGATCAAAAAATTTATTATTATTGCTTCCTAGACTCCTTTTCAATAGAGCTGATATAAAATAAATACCTATGTTCACATTTCACTAAAAATATATTTTTCATCCTCTATCCTTTCATTTAAAAGACTAACATGTACTTTATTTTTCGTTTCTTCTATTATGGTAATATCCATTACCAAAAAAAAACACACGGAAAGAAACCACACTAACAAGGATCCCAGCCACTTACAAATAATATATATATATATTATATTATGAACCAAAAAAAATCATATGCTATTAAGAAAAGAATTGGAAATAAATCGGTCAGGACTGGAAAACAAAAACTCTATTTAAAAATGAAAAGTTTAGAAGAAGGATATATTACACGAAGGTATCTTCTATCAACTCGGGAAATCCAATATGGGTTATTGTGTGAGAGAAGTTTAAAATTCAAGGCAAAAAAAAAGATGTGAATGAATAAAAAAAATGAACTACAAAAAGGTAATGTAAAGATATCAGAAGATCAATTGTCATCATCAGGTTATTTAGAAGACGACAAGACAAATTTACAATCACAAGTGAAGTTTTCAAATTCCAAATACAAATTGAAACAATACAAAAAGGATTGGTTAAAAACCACAACTTTACTTTTAGTATTGGGTAGGTTATTATCAGGAAACAATGACAAAATCCGTAGTTAATTAAAATAAATAAATTCAAACCCGTAAATATTATTTATTGGCTCTGTAATAGTAATAAATTTTTGATTAGAGGCTCCGAGCAAATCGCGTATAGTGATCACCTGATCTGATTTGAGTTTCTTCGATTGTTAACTCGATCTGATTGACCTGACAGGTTAACAACAACAGATTATATAAAAAAGGATCGTTTTTTTTGGAGTAAATACGACACATGTACTAAATAAAAGCTCCCAAAATTAACTTGTGTATATGTGTTTTAAGCGCGAATAATAGATACAGTTTGAACAAATGTGATTTTAACTTTGTCTTTAAAAAGGAAAAATCAACAAGTAAACACAACTTTTATATATAGAATTAACTTGAAAAATATGATTTAAACTATGCATCAGTTTGAACGCTATATGTTTTTTTTTGTGTTTTCACGCGTTTTACGTTTGTAAGCTCCATAAAAAATCTCATATTTAGGCAATCAAATAGAAGAGCGATTTTTTTTTTACTGAATATAAGTACACGAGAACCAGGCAATCTCGGTGGATGGTTTAATGGTAAATCACCTTTTTTTTGGAAAATTCAAATATACAGCGAATCTTTATTACATCTTTGCCATTCCATAATAAAAAAAATGTCATTAATGAGAGGAAAAAACCATATTTTTTGTTTCTTACTTTTAAAACTACTCGGTGTACTTTTTTTGTCATATTTACGCCCATGATTAATTAAATTGTCCAATAACTATGAAAAGTATGACTCATCATTACTTCTTTTCTTTTTCATAATTTTTACCAATTAAAAGCTGTCGGAAATCAGCAATATAATCTCCGGTCCTATCTATACATGATCATTAATTAATGAATGGCTTCTCTTAATATAATAACGATTTATGGGTCATGAAAGAGCTTATTTCATTCCAAAACTGAGTTTACAATGAGGTCCAACTCGGATCCCAATTGTTGTCAATCAATTCATTTTTTACATCATAACATCATCATTTAACATTAATAATTATTAATCATTCTATTTATTATGTAAAAATTCGTGTTATTTGTAATACTTCAAAAAGTATAAATACACTTGAAAATTTCCTTCGATTTTTTAATAATAAAAACTGTAATTGGTTAATAAAGTTGGTATGATTGATTAATAATCCTTTCTGATGTTTAATTTTATTATATTGTTTGTATTGATGCCTCAAGTAATATATTTCTATTTTTTTTTTTTTTTTGGAGCTGACCAGAACTCACCTGCAATAATAGTACGTGTGCGACCGGGAAAAAAACTTGCACTTGACCAGAACTAGGGTTTCTATTCGAATAAAACGAATAATTTGAAATAAAATGAAATAAAACAAATAATTCAAAATAAAATGAAATAAAACAATAAAATGAATAATTCGAATTAAGATCAAGTTGTGTATTATTATTGTGAATATTTTAAATAAGAATTTGCATTACAAATTTACAAATAGAAACTAGCAGAAATGAGGTGAACTTTGGATTTTATTATTGTGAGATATGCACCCCACTAAAATCATGTATTTTTCCGCACAAGTTATCCACAACTTTGTGCAGTATCATGAAAATATCCAATTTTATTGGTGGGTTGGGTGCGTGTTATCCTTATTTAGAAATTGATTTAACGATTGTGGATGATTTTTGCGGAAAAATACATGATTTTATTATCACTTCATTGATCATTACTAATTATTTTTGTTGATATGACAAGTTACTCGGGAAACCAAATTTTTCTACTGATAAAAAATCAATTGCAAAAAGTCTAGGAGAAATACAACTTGAGAAAAACAAGGATGCTTCAATAAGTGATTCAGAAAATAATAGTAAAGATTATTTAATAAAAAATAAAATTAGATTTTTATAAATTAATCTAAACGATTTTTTTTAACATAGTTAGTGATTATGATATTGGTTGATGTGATCCATGTTAATGTTAACATACCAATACCAAAAAAAAAAAATCAAGGGTGTTTGTTATATGTGTTGAGTTATTGTTGTGAATTCAGATCATTGTCCACCATAGACATTTCATTTATTATAATGGCATTGATTTTCTGTAGCTCAATCTTATGTGCACTGTTTGAAAAAATCAATGTTTCTTTGTATCTTCTCTTACTTTCAAGAATGAGTGTATGGTCTTTTCACCAATGTTCTGGACAGCAACACAAGTAGGGACTATCAACAGGTATTCTTTTTTTAGACTAATGATTTGAAGGATTTTCCAAACCTGTCAAAAAGGAGTAGATATGTTTTCCATCTGATGATTTCCAGTGATGAAACATAGTTCTTGATTCTCAAGCTCAAGTAAAAGATTCTTATGAAATAGTGTTCTTTTTTTTTAGGTAGCTATTTTAAGTGAATTTATTGCTTCGTTATATCATAGGGAGAAACTTTCTCAGCATCTGGTAAAACATCCTAGCAAGACTTGTTCTGATCTTGCCACAATCTTCATCACAAAAGAATAGGTGATGCGAGCATGCAATCATTACTTTTTTATTTTTGGTGTTGAATAATTTCAGTTTTGGACCTGAATGTGGCTAAGAGAATCCTTTGAAATATGGTTCTCCATTTGATGGTTACAATGGTGTAATATGATATTCCATGACCAAGTTGTGCAATGTTTTTTCCATGTAGGTAAAGGCATGCATGTGGATCATTCCATAGTTTTGAAATTTGTCACCTTTGAAGAAATGCCCTAATTCACCATCCCAGGATCCTTTCCACACCATGTCCTGGCATATTTTAGTAGTAAAGGTAGATGCGCAATGGGTGATTGCTTAGCATGGTGTTGCCATTTCATGCAAGTAGGTCCATTTGTCTTTGGCCATCATCAAGGTATTTCTTTTTGAAAAAGGGGAACACAGTTCTCAAATTCGAAGGCAAAGTTGTGGTTTTTGACTCATCCAGGATTTTATAGCTGCCATAAGAGCTTCTAACAATCAAGTCAGTTTGGATTGGATGTTTCTCACAGTCCATGTTTCTAGGTATCTATTGAAGGTGGTATTTTTTAATGTCCATTCCCATTGGGAAAAATATCAAAGCTTTCGGATCAGGGGTTTCAAATAAGATCAGAAGTTTGCCACACAATAGTTTGTGTCATTGTTGTGTATTTTTGGAGGAAAGAATCATTTGGGATGACCAAATCTGGAGGGTGAGGAATCTCTTCTGGAAGTTGACTGCAATATTAAGTTGAAATGATTGATAGAGGCTTTTTATTTGATAATATAGGCATAATTTTTATTATATTTAAATTTTAAATTTTAAAACTTTTACAATATATTAATAAATTGTTTATATGTTTATGATTACATTTATTTTTTTAGTATGCATATTTGACATCAAATGAAAAAAAATTCCAAATGATCTAAATATTTATATCCATTAGATGAGAAACTATAAATATGGTAATAATGTTGATGTTAATATTGATACCAAATTTTAAAAATTAATAATTGAATAATTAATAATTACCATTATTGTTATTAATAATTATTACTTTATTGGAATTCACAGGCTGGGGAAGGTTTGTAAAATTTAATAATCTGCTAGTATAAACTGCATTTGGATGAATTACTGCAGTAATTGTTGAAGG